GTGTGGACCATTTGTTGTGTGTTGTAATAATAAGATAAATCCGTTCGAGCTGTGAACAGGTTGCTGCTCCAACATTGGTTTGTACAACACCTTTGTGGTGTGCGGGTTGAACGCCCAACTGAAAAGGCGCTAGAGAACAATGCCCAATGTTTGCCATATTATATTTATAATATTTAAAAATCTTTTTCTCTCTCTTTTGTTTTTTGTTTTTTTTTTCTCGTTATTTTCCAAGCACTTAGCATGCTGACAAGTTGAAGCTTTTGCGTGGCCCGTCAGTCAGGTGGCTCATAAGATATATAAAAAGACTTGGACCTCTTGCAAAACCGACTAGGTACCCCTTATTATTGCTTTTGTTGTTGTTGTTGTTATTCTTCTGGATGTTGTTGTTGCAGACACATTTCAGTTTTGATATGAGCTGTCGCCCATTTGAAGCTTGGGTCTCTCGCTTGTCGACGGGCCCGCTTTGGTTTTACGCCATGGCCAAGTCTCTGGTGTGGGTGGCCCACACATGCACAATACTATACTCTGTGTGTGTGTGTGTGTGTGTGGACTCAGCGTCAAGTCAGAGACTCGGACATGTACCTGGTGCAATTGCTGGGCCGCCGGCGCCTCAGTTAACTCAGTTCGATTCACAGTCTCCCCCGTTTCCCGCCCCTCCCTCACCAAACAACTGGACTGCGTATTAAATTTTGAAATTGGTTTTTGTTGCGGTCGTTAAGCTTATTTCCGTATTGAAGTCTCAGTTTGCTTTGCGGTTTGAATTAATTAGCCTGCACCAACGAACTACATTTCGTTCTTTTGCATATTAAAAGATATAAAAATATGAAACTCAATGTCTCTGTGTGGCCCCAAAACGCCAACGCATTCGAATCGGATTTTGTATATGATTCTGAATCCGAATCCGAATCAAAACCGAGACAATGGTAATTATTAATAATGCAAATAATTATATCGATTTCATTCAGGGGCGTTGCCTGTGATTTGTACAAAGGTGCTCTCGAGTTCTTTTCGGTTCGCTTTGATCGCCAGTGTGGGAAAAAAGATTTAGGTTCTCATTTGCCACTTGAGCTTAGAAGTTTTTCAGTTTCTATGTTCACTAATTTCATAAATTTTTTTTGTTTTTTTCCTTATTTGGCTATTTTGACTGCACTGCATTTGGCTGTTGGCTTTTTGATTAATTTGACGTCAACGAGTGCATGGCAGTTTATTTATGGTGTCTTAAAATTGCTCTTGTGTGGCATGAGTTATAGTTGTAGTAGAGTGCACTAGTCTAATGCTACAATGACACGATCTTGCTATCAATGATTCGGGTGAGAACATTGTTGACAGCTTGTCATAGCTCGAAGTGTGCTCTAATGATTTTGCTTAGTGGAGCTCAACTTGCTAAATTTGCCAACTTCCTACTCTGCCCAAATCTGTTCAACTTTCGATTTCATAAGAGTTTTATATTGCTTAGTTACAAAGACAACAAATCTCTTGCTCAACTTTTGCACTAACTTCAAATTATATAGCCTATATTAAAGTTCGATTAGATCTGAAACTGCTGCGAAACAACCATTATTAAATATTAATTTACACCCAGAGAGTTAAACAAACAGCACGTACGGCTAACAACAAAAAAAAAAAAACCAAAAAAGGCACTGACTACAACAATTGGTATCTGCATCAGGTCTCGAGTCAATCAACAGCTGCGACAAAAGCGACGGCGACGGCGCCTGACATATTTAAAAACTTCCATAATCGTAAATGCCCTGTACTAATAAAAATGGAGAAGGCAGATAGATGAATGTAAATGTTTGAGACAGTCAGAAGCAGACTATTGCGAGGAAATATATAATATACACTTTTGAATAGTATTATTAGGTAATGTAACAGTTAACTTAAGCCTAACATAATAATATCATACTATTTACTGTAATAAGATCTGAGTACAGGATAACTTTGTATACATCACTGTGCATTAGCACATTCTTTGATGTTGTTTCATGCGCACTTAAAATTATTAAGTATTAATTACAACGAGCGGAAAAACGTGCCATGAATTTGTAATTTAAATATTTAACATACAAAAATTAATTTCTCAAAATTAAAAATGCATTTAAAATAGCATTTGGCGATAAAAGATTAATTAAACTGCCAGCAAGGAAGCTTAGACTCAAAGTTGCCCAAAGCGACTTCGGGTTTGGCCCAAAACTAGGTAGACCGTAGAATCAAGGCGTTTTTAGTGGCAGCTACAAAATGCCAATTAAGCGCGCATTGCACGCTGCCGCAATAAATGAAATTCGAGTAGCAGCCACGTTGCAATATTTTTTTTATATTCTATTTTATTTTTTGACCATAAATTAAAGCACTAAACGATTTCCAACCGTAATCGCGGCGTGGCACTTGTCACCAGTCATCCAGTTAGGTGGAAGGGGACGGCCGTCTTATTTAACCTTTGACCAAAAGCCGCTGCACAAAAATTGACAGTGCCACATGTGCGTTTCCCAGTTCGTTCTTTTTTTGCAGTCAAGGCGTGGCAGCTAGAGCAGCAACAGCAGCACGCGCAGCAAGTCAAAGTCAAAAGCGCTTAATAAAAGAACAGCAAAGTAGCAGCTTGAGAGGGAGAGGCTAGTGCTGGAAAGGAGTCCAAGTGAGTAGGCATCACACATTGTCCTGGGTTCTTAGCAAATGTAATATGACTTTCGCAGCCAAGTTTCGGTGGCCTGTGGTGTGTTTCCTAATAGACCAAAGCTACCGCCTGACAAGTTACAATTCGTGACGGAAAATATAATTAAATAAGGCAAGAACGAAGCTGCAATACTCTGCCAGAGCAGCTCCAAATATATATCTTATATAATTCAATTCATACATAAGTACTTGACTATGTCGTTAGTAAAATAAAACTTATTGACTTTAGGGTAGTTCTCAGACACATTCTACTTTTTACAGCGAACTTCAAAATTCTTTGAAATATATTTTTTGTTATTTTCAAACATCTGGATAAACGGAATTTATTTTCATTCATAGCTTCATTAATGACAACTATACCTCAACTAACTCTGTCTATTTAAGAGTGAATACTGCACAATATATTGGATATGCTTTAGGATTAGGTTGCTTAGAGTACTACAGTCAGTTTAGGCCTTAAGCAAAGGCAGTGCCGAAAAACAAAACTGGAAGTTGTAGAGCGTAAGAAACTGCGTGGACGGCATTTATAATAATGCGACTCGGGCAAGCACCAAGTTGACTTTCTGCAACAAAGTAAGGTGCGGCTGCGGCAGTGCGGAAAACTGAAAAATTGCTGCAGCGACAACAACAATAATAATAACAACGGCCAGAACAGCGGCAACGAAAATGAACTGGAAAACGCGTTTAATTGAACCAAAGCCTGATGACTGCCCACTAGCGCCATCTAGCTGCGTGCGGCTGCACTAAGACGGCTTGGCAAAACTTGTTGCTGTTGGCTGCTGTTGTTGTTAACTTGTTGCTGTTGCTTTTGCTATTGCTGCCGTGGTAGACCCGAAATCGATGATTCATCGGGTTGTTTGTTGTTTTGAGTGGTTTTCGCCGCCCCGTCGCAAGACTCCAATGCTCTAAAATTGCTAGACGTTTGTCGTACTTCACAGTTGTTGTTATTGTTGTTGGCGCTTGCCGCCTGCTGTTGCTGTTGCTGTTGCTGCTGCTGTTGCCGTTGCTGGTGACGCAGTTGCAATTTCAGTTGCAGCTGCGCCAATTCTCCTTCGTTTGCCGTTTGGCGCTTTACGTTCAAAACAATTATTATTCTGGCAATTAATTTTGATTTAAGCAGCGATTTGATATTCCGCTCTATCCGCAACCAACAAACAAACTCAGCCACTCAACCAGCCAGCCAGTCAACCATCCATTCAGCCAGCCATCCACCAAAGCTCAGCACCACCACCCGCTGCTACCAGCAATTGCTGCAATCTGTTTAATGCCGGCGCTTTGAGATTCGCTAAATTTGCGAATCAGATGCAACTTTTTAATGCGATAGATAAATTAAGAGACACCTACATCGCTGCTCTAACCAGCGAGGCTGCAATCGATGGCATCGCTGCGACTTGTCAGCAAATGAGCATCCGCGTGCAATTGCAATCCAGTGCTGCATGCAACACATTGACTAACCTCATATGAGCCTTGTCAATTCGAATGGGATAAATGCAAGTGAAAACTTGAGTAAAGTAAGTATTGATTTCGCTTTGAAATGTATGAGCTACATTTAGTTGGATGATAAAGTGACCTTTTTATATGTAAAGGCAGTATTCCTGGGAATTGCCTTAGCCTTCTCATATTTTCAACAACAGCTGATTCTATGCACTTTTAAATTGTGTAAAATTGTCGATTTTCTTTTCCTTTATTCTCTGCTTATCTCGGGTATCACAGCGAATTAAATACTGTACTTTATTTCAAAATACAGACGTTCTGAATTTCTATTCAGCTTATTAAGTTTTCGTGGAAGATTTTCCAAATTTTCATTCAAAATCTTTTTGTTGCCTTTTTTTCAATTTATTGATTACTTTTAATTTAATACAAAATAAATATATAAAAATCGATTGAAATAAATATAAAGTTTTGCGCGTATATACACAACTTAAGTGGGAATAAATTAAAATAGTTCGTACTATGTATAAATATAAATAAATAAACCTAAGCTCGCACCATTTTGATTTGTACACAACGAGATTTTAACAAGAAATATACAGCTAATAATTTGAAACAAAACATTAGTTAACAACAAATGGCTGCCCACCTAATCCTAACACCCTGACTTGGCTTACATAATCCTATTGAAATAAATAATTATATATACTTTAAATAAATTCTAACTGTTAAATATGTGGGGTAACCTGCACTAGAGACGATCCTAACAAGCAATAAAATTGCTCTAACTAATATTTGGCATTGATTTCCTGATGATTTGGCTAAATTGTAAAACTGACTGAAACTTATGGATAACTGTGGTTAAATAAATCGATTTAATCCCTGGTTGTTGATTGTACTTAGTAAATGCCCCGTCTGACCTGCGTGGGCATTTGAAATTCGGGTCCCTCCTCCTCCTCCCCGCCGCTGCTGCCTACGCTGCCCGCATAGTAGAGCGGATGAGGCGCCATCTCATCATAGTCCTGCAGATGCTGCTGCAGCTGCTGCTGATTGAACCCGGCTGCTGCTGCTGCTGCTACTGCTACTGTTGAACCACCCTGCTCCGTCTGGCAGCCGGTCTGCAAGTGTTTTGCCAGCAGCGACATTCGGGAGAATGACTTGGTGCAGCTGGGGCAGGAGTACTTCTTCACATCCGAGTGTGTTTGCATGTGCGCCCTCAGATTGGAGCGATCTGCAAAGGCGCGATTGCAATGCTGGCAGCTGAAGGGCTTCTCGCCCGTGTGGGTGCGTATGTGACCCTGAAGCAGCCAGGGGCGGGAGAAGGCTTTGCCACAGATGGGGCACTTGCAGGGCAGTGTGTGGGTGCGTATGTGCATCTTGAGGGCTCCCAGCGAGACGTATGTCTTCTCACAGTTCTTGCAACTGAAGACCTTCTTCACCTGGTTGCCCTCGGCGGAAGGGCAGTGGAACTGCTGATGCTTGCTTAGGCCAGAGTATGTGGAATAGGACTTGCCGCAATCCTTGCAATGATACCGTGGCACACCCACCGGCTTCTGCATAGATTGCGCTGAGGCAACATTCGCCGCTTGGATGAGTGCCGATGCCTGATCCGTGCAGAATTCAGTTTGGTCGACGATGGGACCACCACTGGGATTGCTGCGTATAATCTTGTACTCGGTGCTCTCGTAGGCGTGACTCTGCTGGTGCTTGACGAGACCCGCGTAGGTGGCATAGCATTTATTGCACTGCTGGCACTGATAGTACAGATCGTTGCTGCTCTTGATCTTCAGATTCAGTTGATTCTCGGTGTTCTCATGGTTCTCCAAGTCATCGTCATCCTGCTCAACCTGATGTACCGGTGCAGACTTGAAGCTCTGGTCGGGCAACTGCTGCTGTTGCTGTGGAGCCATGTGCTGCATGCTGAGCAGTGCTCGTGCCACATTGTGCAGATTGACATTTTCACTCAAGCCACGACGCTGCTGTGGCGTCACACTCAAATCCTGTGGCTCAATTGGCGGTGGTGGTGGCGGCGGTGGCATTGGCATCTTCATGCAATCCTCATACTCGGCAATGCTCTTCAGCAAATTGTTGTTGTAGTTGCGCAGACCAAAAGGCTCCTCCGTGTGCTCCACTTTGACGATCGAGGCGGGCACCAAAGGTGGCGAAATGCGCGCGTAGCTGGCAGTCATTTCCAAGTCCCGCTGCTGCTCTAACTCCATGACCTCATCCTCGGGCGGCAGCTCGAAGTCACCATAGCCGAGACGGGCCAGACTCTTGGCAATCTCCTCGCGCGTAAAGACATCCGGAAAGGCGCGAGCAATCTCTCGTGTCTCCTCCCAAATGCGTCGGGCTAGTTGATCCTTGGTCTGTGTCATGGCTGCATCGAAGCGACGACGCAGCTCCTGCGTCACCGGCTGTGGCTGCGGCACCTTTTTGATGGACCAATGTGGAGGCACTAGGGGCACCGCAGCGGAAGCCACACTAAGATCAACGGGTCCCTCATCTGCAAAGCACAATAACAAGTTGACTTACAGAGCTTCTAAAGATGCCTAGAAGATATTTGCATTCATTTCCTATTGGTGAGGAACGGTAAACCTACCATGACACAGGTGATCCTCATGTGGCGGCTCCTCGACGAGAATTGGTCGCTTTTTCAGCGGGCATTTACTGTAGTTGAGTTTATCCATTATAGCTTGGGTAATCACCAAATCACTTTTCGCACTGAGGATCGCAGTAGGATCTGTTTAATATTCTTTCTAAACTTGGAATCACTGGCGCTGATCATTTACGGCTGCTCTCGCACGCGTCTCGCTCGCTGGCAGTTTCGTATACGAATGATGCAACCGCCGAGGATCACTTTAATTTTATATAGACTTCCACCTCGGCGCAGGATCGATCAACCCCCAAGTTAAAACTGAGAATCGGCAAGCAAGCAACCCCCTTGAGTGAGTGGCAAAAAGGGATCGGCTGCTACCTACTTCCGATTTAGTGCCACGGGCGGATTCTGTACGGAAATCAACCACCACGAGCCGCACACATCAGACATCAACATTCAATGATCTCTCTTCTACACTTCCACTCACCCCCCTCTGACCCTCTCTCGCCCTGATTGTCTGTCGCCTGCCGCCGTAACAGCTGTGCTCTGCCTCTGTTCATTGAACGCAGCTCCAGCTGCAGATTGAGGCACCGCCAACAAATCTCTGCTCAAAAAAGCGAGCACGTGCCACACACAGCACACACACTTACTCACGCACAACATACATACACACACACACACACACATACCGGTTACCGGCGCAACGCTCTCTCCCTCTTGCACACACACTCACGCACACCAGCACACAACGATCGCCACCAGCTGCCTCTGAGATTGAAATTTTGTACGCTCAAATTTCCCCTACTCTGTCTGTCTTTGTATTGGTGAGCGTGAGTGACGGCAGCTGGCAAGCTTATATACAACTTGAAGTGCAAGTTTAAAAATAAACTCTTGCTGTCTCTTTTCGTTCCCTAAAGATCGGCTGCCCATTGCTTACATACACGATGACGGCACAGCAGACACACACACACACACACACACACAAGTTTTGCTCTCTTCGAGCAGGTGAGCTTGCTCTTTGTTAGCTGTTAAGAGTAGCTTAAAGCTGATGCGTGCAGCCAATTGGCGCTCTGCTGTTCGTTCTTTGGCGCTCTTGTTTCACATTTCATTCGTAGCGCGCTAAGAGCACAAAACGAGGCGTTTATTATTGTGATCTGCTGAGATAGATTTAGTGCTTTTGCTGGCTTTAAGCAGCTTAAGTCAGACACGCAGACACGCTGAGCTGCTGGCTCTGTTGAGATCGCCAAACCTGCAGCTTTTTGCTAAACTTTTCTACTCATTTACACTTTACACAACACAAATCTGATTCTTTTTCAAAAAGTCTGCAAATATGTTTTATTCTTAAGCAGGCAGCTGCTTTCACATGTTTAGTCATCAAATTGTATTTCTTGCAATCTTAAACAACCAAAAAATACCCAAATACTTAGCGATTGCAGTCAGGCAGGCATTAAAAAAATATATTCATCAGAAAGACAAACAACCCGAGGATATAAGCTAAATCAATAACCATTGTGTAAAGCCTCGTTCGATGCTCCTCCATCTACAGAGGTGCATTTTAACAACAGCATCAAAAGTCCATTTCTAACGGCTATGAAATTTTGTAAATTGTTATGGAAAAATTTGCCGGCAGCTGCCATTTTTGAGAAACCTCCACTTAGGCCTGTTCAATAAGTACAATTTATGGGGTGGTTGCGCCGCCGCATTTTACCTGGCTCGAGGAGTGCCTTGGAATGCGCCAAAAAAAAGGTATGTGCAAAACTACCTGGCACTTTCAACATGCTCCTGCTCCTGCTCCTGCTCCTGCTCCTGCGGCTGCTGCTGCTCGTGCCGCCTGCCGATCTAGCGATCTACCCACCCCAAATGGATCGCACAGCATCTCACCAGCCAGCCGTCTGGTGGTTGCAGTTGTCGCTGTTGTTGTTGTTGTGGTGGTGGTGATGGTGGTGGTGGTGGCAGTGAAACTGCATTTCGTACGTTACGTTCGGTCCAACCCTTAGCTACGAGCAGGCAGCACTGATCTTGATAGAAATCTCAGCAGGGCAGAGAGTTGTCCCGTGCCCCTCGTTTCTCATGCACACAGCTGCCTCCTTGTCACGTACCATGCAACTGATTTCTTTAACTACTCGGTTGATTTCTTTAAAGAAATTTGGCGCCAAAGTCCTGTAAGAAACCGGTGTGTCCTGGCCAGGATACGTGATCTCTGTCATAACAACAATGCTTCAGATAAAAGACAGTAAGAACTTATTGTTCGCCAGATACAATTTCTCTTTCTTTAAATGCCGATTTAAATATTTATGTTTGTTGAATTGAGCCAAAGTAAATTTATGGACCGCCCAGCATCTTGGTAACGGGACAGAAAAATATCTATGCCTTAATAGATATGCGTGAGCGAATCAGTTTATTATTAAAATATAGGCAATAAGTTAGTAGGTTTTTGTTTATTAAAAAATATTGGTACAATAATTAAAAGCACCTTTAAATAACACAGCACAGAAGCTATTTGTATTCTCAGTAAATGTCCGCTAATAAATGATTATTTCATCCTGAAAATATATTTGTAATTATATATAATTGAAGATTTATACAAGCAAGTTCTTAAGGAATAATCTAACAAATATAGATTTCATTTTTATTAACCAAACATGTCAATTTTCAGCCTAACTAAATTTCAACTAAAGTATCTCGATAATTACGTGACACTTCATATTGAGAGAAAAGCTCTTTCTATAAATGTTTTAAATTGCTATCGAGGCATTAATAACATTTCGCTATCATCTTTGACCAAGTGAAGCTCTAGTTGCCCCACTAGACACCAAAGTGAGCTAACTGCACTTCACCTGGCAGACAAACCGCAAACGGGAAACTTACAAAATGCAAACTGCAAACTACAAACAGATTCAGATGCAGGCTCAGACTCAGCTCGGATACAGTTGAGTGCCTCACTTCAAAGTGTCAAAGAGCCGCCAAAGTCGCATAATGAAGTGCAAAATGTCATTAATTTGCCGTTGCAGCTGCGGCCAGCAAACTGACAAACAAAAGAAAGTCGCCGGATGGATAGGAAAAGTGTAAGAAAACTATGCAGAAATGCAAAACTCAATACCCACAGGGACGGATGGGAGTAGGGGACGGGGTCCTGCATGCCACACGCCGCCGCACAATGTCACGAGTTACAGATTTCTCAAGCCACTAAGCAAAAGAATGCGCCGACCATGGCGGCAAGCACGGACTAGACTGGCAATCAAAACAAGATCTTAGAACTATTGGCGCCTGATCTTCAGACAAAAGCCAACCAAGAGCTGAAGAAGACAGAGGCAGAGGCAGAGGCAGAAGCAGAGACAGGGATAGAGACAGAAACAAAGTTGGAGTTGCAGCTGGAGACGGAACGGACAGAATGTCCAGGTCAGTGAACATAAATGCCGCCGCGGTGGCCAGCAGCCTATTGAAATCTGATATTCTTATCAAAGCTAACGGTAATTATAAACAAATAAAAGCACAACAACAACAACAACAGTAACATCAGAAATGTTGTAACGTAAAGAACACACAGCAGGCTCGAAACTGGAGGAGCGTGGAGAAGGGCATGGGTAGCTATGTTGCCGCTTCCGACGCCGCATATATTAGCCAAGTTAGAAGCTACGTCTATAATTCAAACTAATTTGTTTTATTGACAGCGTGTGCGCCTCCCATATGCGTAGTCATCGATAAGGCCAACACGCACACACACAAAGGCACACACAAATTGGTCAATTATGATCTGAGCCAGGTCTGAGTAGCTATTCGGGCCAACACACGCGATGAGACGACGACTGAGACGGCGACTGAGACTGAGACTTAGACGTGTTTCATTAGGGGAGCTCAAGTGACAATAAATTAAATTTGTTGGTCAACTAACTAATTAAAATGCGCTTCTAGAGTTTCGACTCTCGGTTTTCGTCTCTCGACTCTTGAGATATTAATCTGCTTGGGAAGCTTACTGTCAGAGGCGCTTTTGGAGAGGGACGGAGACGGACCACCCGTTCAGCTAAGTCCAGTTTGGCTATTGGGTCCCGTACGACATTCAACATTCATCGGTAGCTCTCATCTTGACTAATACAAATTATAATTTCCAGCTGGTGATTTTTATTTAATTTTTTCATAAATGAATCATGATAATGAATTGTTTGTGCTGCGGCTAGCTTCATGGGAAAAAGAGATTAACATCAGCGTTTATGTTAATGCATGTTGAAATATCATAAAGAAAAAAAATGAAATATTCATTGCCACTTCAACCGTATTTTCGCCGCTGATTCACTTGCAAAAATGCGAATTTATCTCGACTCTGCCAAATTTTTACAAACTTGGGTTATTGTACTTGACATGTCTTTAATTTGCTTATCAATGGCAAACATCCTCTGGCATCCAGCTCGATTGGTCTGTTTGCGTACATCAAGTTGAAGGGCGCGCTGAAGTTCAAGTTCGGTGAATTTTTAAGTAGGGGGATAAATTAATTCAATACCAACTATTTTGAGACAATCAGAAAGAGATAGAGAGGGAGCTAAGGGTACAATTTTGTAAGCAGGATAAGTTGATGAGGACCCGGAAACAAATAGAAATAAGAAATAAATAAGTATATGAATTAATTCTGGTTGAAAGTTATTTAGTCTTACAAATAGGGAAAGAGATCGTGTGAATCATCATCTGTTCAGAGTGTTCCACACTCACCCATTTTTATTTCGTTATTATCGATAGTATGTTAAAATTGTCTAAGAACGTGCAACCCTGTCTTGAGTAACATATTGTAATTAATTTGGGCCAAATTGCAACGGAAACTAATAGCAGCGGCAGCACTCCTTGAGAGTATCCACACCCGAAATATTCAATTCAATTACCAATTAAAACCCATCAATTGAGCGCATAATGGAACAATTCAATTGAGTGCAAATGTTCCCATGACCGGACAAATTTACACTTGCAGACGACCAACAGCAGCAGCAGCACCAGCAGCCAAGTGCGTGAGAAAAGCAAAGGGGGTTGGGTGGGAAGAGTGGGAGGGTTGGTTGGTTAGCGAATTGTTGAGGTCTGGTCACAGCATCGGCAGGAGGATTCATTTTGACCAATAAATAAAAAGTACCCACGCTGACAAGTCGAATGCGGGCGCGGATTTCAATGGACTCGTATTACACCGGGGGCAGTGCAGTGCAGGAGCTAAGGGATGATCCTTGATGCATTATTTGTTATTTGAATCACGTGACAAGTTGATGGCTGCCTGCTGACTGCTGCCGGAGGTGAGCCGAGGGGGTTGCTGGGAACGATGAACAGAAATCATCCCACGGGATTCAATTTATGCGTGTTTGAATGTTTTTGATTGCGCGTTGCTAATTCAAATAAAATTCAGCTTCGAAATTGCTCGTTGCTCGTTGTTGTTTTTGTTTTTGTTTTTGTTGTTTGTCCTGTGGTAAGCTGAGCTGCCTTGTGCTTTGCATCAAGTTCAAACCCAGTTACCAGTTGCCAGTCGCTCTGGTGGTGCAATTTCAACCTCATTACAAAACATTTGCTTTGTTCTCTCAACTTAACTTACGCCTTTTGCTGCGAGGGTGCATCAATTTCAGTGACAGCTTGTGCCTGTTGGCATTAATAAAGTCACGGAAAGCATTTGTATTTCCATCCTCTGGGGATTTGCAATTAAACAAATTAAGCAACTGGCTCAAGAGCCCAAGATCCCCCTCGCCACAGCACTGAGCCAATTTCTAGACGCCTTTTTTTGGCTGCAAAAAGCTGTAAAAATAGCGGCAAATGTCACGTTAATTATTACAAATTATTTCATATTTGTATTTTATGCTAATTTCAGTTGTCAGCATTGTATTTTTATAAGTCGTAGCGTTTTTTTTTTTACAAAATATGTAGAGGCAAGAATGTGGTAGTCGAGAGTGCCCCATAGGGAATACCCTGTAACGTTAGTGTCGTGATATTTTTAGGATAGATTTCTCAACTGAATATAACTAAAAGTCGTAATTGTAGTCAGTTTTTGTCAATTGTGAGCTGTAATTTTCAACAAATATTGAATATTAGGTTTTCCACACATTTCTTGGATATTGTTGAAATCCGAACTTTAAAATAAAGCAAAAGGTATTTAAGAGCAAACAAAAGAAATTTGAATTTAATAATAAATGATATATTGTTTCTTGCACTGGCACTACTATTTGATACTATTTTTAATCTTTATTTGGATGCAGGGTATTTAAAAGCATTACAGTCCTTAAAGACATGCACCTGAAGCAAGCCCCCTAGATTAATATAGCTGCTGGAAATTGTGTATAGGTAGGCATCGGAAACCCATATAATTGATTTATGGCCAATGGATTGTTGGGTTGACTAAATTTAGAAGCGAACGATCAACTAAAACAACTAATTTAGTGAGAGATGTGAGCTGTAAAGTTTCGTGTTCTTCAGTTTTGTCACGTTCATGTGTATGATATCTTCCAGTAGTCGTTCATCTTTCTCTCTCTCTCTTTCCCTCTCTCTTTATATATATATATATATCTCCCTCTCTCTCTCGTTCGTTCTCAATTCTATACTGTTCAGTGAGAAGAACGTGTCTGTTTGTTTGTTTTTGTTGTGTCGGGGGAGGCGACAGGCGAGAATCTGTCGTCTGGCAGGGCGCTGTCACAGTTGACACTGACGATGCGGCAGGTACACGAGGCAGAAGACGTGCCGTTAAGTTGTCAATGCTGCTGCTCCTGCTTCTGTTGCAATGGGAATATTGGGGAAGCAGCAAGTTTTGGACAGGGCTTCTACTCATCTAACGAAAGATTAATTGAACGTGCGCCATCGAGTTATTAATCTTGTCGAGCTTAGTTGGGGCGTACATTGTTTCTAAAATATTGTATGCACTCGTCCCAGTGTCAACTAATGGGACCGCCACTTGAGCCACGATTCTGTGTTGCCCGACTGGATCTGCAGTATATGCATATGTACATATGCAGCTGCCCTGCTTCATGCTTTTATTTTTTTTTGTTTTTTAGGTCTCTCCCTAATTTGTTTATGGCTTTGATAATGCAATTTTTTAGTTGGAAAGTGAGACAAGGGGGCAGATTGGGCCGGGGGAACTGCAATAACATAAATATATCCGCTGATCTGGCGGGAGCAATTACCGAGTGAGCCATATTTTGTCACATTTCTTATTTTTTCTCCTGCTTCGCATTGGGTGAAAGTTGAGGCGTTTTTATGGATGCCCATAACTCTGGAGTTGCACTGAGAGATATGCTGGGGATAGTTCAGAGGCGATGCTGATATAGCTCAAACTTTCACTTGAAACCATTTTAAAAACGATCAAACCATATAGCAGGCATTATGTTTAAAGAATCAAATACTTGTAGCTTAATTTGCTATTTTGATTCTGTAGGATATCACATTATGACCTTTGGTCTTGACCGAAAAATGAGCTTTGTACAGCTAGTAAATAAATAATTAGCTTTTCCTTCAGTGCACAAGTGGGAGGAATACATTAAAATGCAATAGAAATATATTTAAAAGGTAAGCTGAGACGATTTAGCTGGTCTATGAAAGTCACGACCTGCTCGGGCTGTGGGTATTCTGAGAACTCCTCTCCCCAACCGGAGCGTCGTCGTCTATTACGTAGCGTGTGAGCACATGCCAAACTTGCCACAAATATTGCGTAGCTGCTGTTCTATTTCACAAGGTAGCGCAATCGACAAGATGACGCACACACACTGGCAAACAACCCACTTCAGTGGCCATGGCTGGCCGAAAAGTAACGTTCCAGAGCCGTTGAAGTTGAAGTGAAGTGAAACAACTGCAACACCTTGGGAGGGCAGGAGAAGATAGGCAGTAGTAATCAAGTCACCACCAGGCAACAGTTGAGACACAGCCGGTACGTCACGGGGGAAGTTTTCAATTTCTATGGAACACCTGGACGCAGTTGCGTCTAAGGTGCACGGCTAATGAGCTCAGCAACTTTTTGTTTTGACGCAGCTCTGTCTGCCATAAGCCAATGGGGCTCTGGCTTTGCACCAATATCTCACAAGGACAGGGGCTGAGTAAATCCATATGTGTCATGAGTAAACAACAGCTCTGATAGTTGTGTTCACTTTAGTTGGCTTTGGTTGAGTTTTTTTTTTTTTTTTTTGCTATGTCTACAAAGAACACTTGCGTCATCCGCATTTCATGATAGTAGAAATTCAATTTGAAGAGTGCTCACCGCTCCGAGCGAAGTAGGGGTTGCTAAAGGAAGTGCACACCTTGCCACATTAGCATAGCATTAACCTGGGCACCCTTCGTGGCACCTCAAAACTACTTATTCTTAGTTTCCCATCGTGGTATTGTGAACTTGTTTATTAACATGTGACAATTATGGTAAACGAATGCAAATGACTATCGGAACATCATCAAATAGTAAACGGGAGCAAATGCAATGCGATCCACTTCCTTGTCTTTGCCCCTGCCCCTTTTGAACCCTTTCATATGTTATGATTTTCCCAACCGGATGCAAAACTGACACGCAAGTGTTATCCCATCCATTCGAGAATTATGCAAATTGCATTTGACATTAAGAGTGTAAACTATAGTCGGACATGTCCGAACACCTGGGCTATGGATAACGGAAGGAAGTGAATCCCTTAAAACAAGATCGTCTTTCCCACAGTTGTCAAGGCTAATGAATAGGATATCTCTTGGACTAATAACTATTGATGTTCATCGTATCTATTAAAAGTCCAGAATGCGCATGAGATGCGAACGAAAATTTATCCAGATGAACATTAAATGGGATGCCAAGTGAAGGCGACGATTCTAAAGTCAATGACGAAAACGAAATGTGAGGTGAACTTAGTTTGAGTGAGAATGATTTGAGAATTACGCAAAATAAAAATGTATTACCAACCCTAAATGTAAGAGAAAAATATGGAATGAGATGAGAGGATGATTCAACATTGGAGTTGAGAATCATCAGCAATACAGTACTCATGGGAAACACGAACTAGACTTTGCTGCTTCTTTAGAACATCATATGTCAATGCTAAATAATTTTCAAGTACGTTCATAATTTAATCAAAATTCGAATATTATAGACAACTTAAACTTAGCAGCAGCATTTTATTCTTTAGGTCAAAGTCATAAAATTAAAATTAAGGACCACATTTTTCAGATACTCTGCTCTTTATGAATCGCACGATGACTTCCGAGGACAGGACAGATTTGCTCGATGTGGTGACTCCACGCCATTCACTGCTCTCGGCAAGGTTTAAGCAGAGTTTCGCTTATATAGCGCTGCAGTCGCGTATGCCGGGTATCATGCAGCAGGTTATTAATGCACTGTGGTCTAATGAACAGGAGCTGAAGGACCTTCATGGCCCGGAGGCTTGTAAAGATATACGCATCATCATCGAGAGCATCGAGCGCTTGAAGAAGGAGCTACAACGCGATCGCCAGTTCCAGCAGTTCCGTGGCAACGAACCTGATAAGGCCGAGTGGAATGCATTTATAATGGAGTTGCCACACCCCAAACGCTCGTACTTTCGCGCAAGTTGGCTGCACTCCGAGTGTTACCTGTACAGGCGCATCAGCTCCTTTTTCCAGAATAGCAAACATTTGCAAAACTTTGATTATTTCGCAGATCTGAAGCAGGAGGACTTAAAGATCAGCGAGCGTGCGATTCTCTGCCTCACCGAAGCCACACGGGAACTGGGCAAAAATTTCGTGTCATTTAGTCAGCTAATGCACATCAATATGTGGAGCAATCGCTTTGAGATACAGTTGAATGCTTTTGTCTTTAACACGCCCAGAGATAAGAAAAACATCGATGTGCTGGCCCGCGTAGCAGATCTGGACAAGCGACTGTTGGTGGATGATAGCAACTTGGTGTGGGATTGCCTGATGAAGGTCAAGGGACAGAAAAGCATCATTGTAGACTACATCTGTGATAATGCCGGTTTCGAGCTGTTTACAGACTTGCTGTTCATAGAGTATTTGGTCAACCATAATCTGGTCACCCAGGTGCGAATGCACGTGAAGACCATTCCCTGGTACATCTCCGATGTGATGCTGCACGACATTGAATGGACTATCGAATATCTGAAGAACTACAAGAGCGAGGTCGTCTCAGCGCTGGGCAAGAAGCTGGAACGTCTAATGAAGGAGCAGCGCATTATTGTAGCACCCCCATCACATTTCTGGACCGGTCCACAGTCCTTCTTTGTCATGTTCGATTCCAATATCGATCTGTACAAGATGCTGGCTCAGGCTCACTTGATCATCTTCAAGGGTGATCTGAACTATCGCAAGCTCCTTGGCGACTACATCTGGGACTCCACGGAGGAGTTCATTACGTGCCTGCGGGGCTTCCGGCCGGCAAATATGTGTGCTATGCGCAATGTGAAGTGCGAGGTGATCTGTGGCTTGCCCCAAGGTACCGCCGATCGTTTGCTGAAGGTCGATCCCACATGGATGATATCGGGCACCTATGGCGTCATTCATTACACGGACAGCTTAAAGTGCAAATGCGATAGTCGGCATTCTGCGTGTTCGCTAACTCAGAGACTACAGCACTAGCCACTAGCCGCCTTAAGCCAAGTTTCACTTGTCGACACTTACATATGTCCCGCCCGGGGAGCCATATACTTACTCCTTGGTTCAATTCGGCAATCAGCAGCCAACAGAAAAACGCATCGCCAGCAGTTAAAATTTGAGTGATTTTTTGCACTTTTATTAAAATTTACAATTGCAAACGCGTCTGCAACTGCTACTGCACCTGGTCAGAGTGGGGCGTGTTAGGGGCTGGGCTATATCTTAATTTGCATATGGCTGGCAGCGTAGAAAACTCAGTTCCCAAAATAAATGAGCCCATATTTGTCAGTACAGTTTGCCCAAATCAAACAGCATCGTTACGCCCACCAAGCAAGAAGGAGGCAGTTTACTTGGACTGTGCCACCTGCATTTCTCTAGTCTGAGCTAATCTAGACCTGTACTGTCCTGGCCCGTAGGCCGGCTTAAAGCCTGGCCAATTGGCTGAGTGACTAATGCTGTTGATTTTATTGATGTGGCGCACATGCGCCGCAATTTGTCAGCGAAGAGCGCTGCCGGCGAGGAGAGCCTTTCCTGGCGATCCATTGAAAATGGAAAGTTGTGAAAATCCGCAACATGTGCAGAATGCATGCAACACACAACACAAGTTAGACTAATGTCCATTAAATTAAAGATTGCTTCCAAAAAGTGGAAGGATTATTCGTTATTAGAAGTATGGAACAAATAAAATTAATTGCTGTAGCTAGGAGCTGCTACAAACGAGTAACAAAGGAATGAATAATTTAAGAATAATAGTTTCTTCTTCCTAAGCAGTCATTAAGATTTTATTATATTTGTTAGTTCCCATGGAAATGTTGCTTGGTTGGTCAGTTGCATTATATTCGTTGGGATGTTGCCCTCAAAGTATTTCCCAGACTTGCAGTCGACTTGACAACAATGCAAATCTTAGCCGTAGGTGTTCTTACTTTATTCTTTAAATTCATGCATGCAGCGATTTCTCAGTAATTCGAGACCATTAATATATGTATCAAAATTCGAATGATTCCAAATCAAATTCTCTTAGTTGATTGCACTTCAAATGAGCAGCGCACAAAAGCATAAAACCAAAATCATGAAATAAATCACAATTGGAATATTAAATGCGCATTCCCACAACTATTAAGTTGGCAAATTGAAAAGAGCAACATGAGGCCAAGACGTAACCAGAAAATTCCAGAGCACATAAGTCTCTGGTACAGTTCCCACTCCCGAATCGAGCAATTAATCAGCAACATTACAAAGTTCTGTTCTGTGATACGAAATGGAAGTGAAACATTGAAAACGGGTCAGCCAAATATTATTTTCCCACCAAAAAAAGCCACCCCAAAACCAGACGATCTACTGCGCAGCTGCAGGATAAGCAAAATGCTAAAAAAAAAAAAAAAAAACAAATACCAAACACAAAGCCAGAAGCCGCTTCTCTCTACATATGCTCAGCCAGCAATCAAAGCAAGCAACTGGCTGTTGTCCACTTTGTTGTTTTCATTTTTAATTTTGGGGTGGGGATTGGTTCCTATTGCGGATGCGCCCTTGAAAATAGCACCCGGCAATCGGCACCCGACACACCAGTTACCAACCAGTTTCCAGTCACTCGTCATCGGTATTCACCAGTTCACAGTTACCAGGTTGTTGCTGGTGCTTTTGTCTGCTTTGGCCTGGGGAGGGTTGTAAACTTTCTCACCAATGCCTCCGCGGCCAGGTGATGATTGTGGCTCTGATTCCAGATTTCCACCACCCAATTTAATAGCTTAAAGCTGTGCGCAGGTATGCGCCATTAAACCAGCTGGCAAACGAGATTCAACAACAATCAACTGAGTGTTTGTTAGTATTTTGCTGTTGTTGTTTGGTTGTTCGATTCGATTTGGGTGGAGTTGTTTGCCGTCTGCAAAACTGCTGCTTAAGGCTTGCAACTTATATGCAAGGTGCGATAGCTACGAAGCATTTTCACATGCTCAATATTAGATAAGCAGTGTAAAGATTAGCAATCGCATTGCTTATCAAACGTTGCACCCCAAAAACAGTTGACCGGATGCCGAGCTACAAGTGCTTACAATGTTTAACTTCAAATATTGAATAATTATGGGAGCAGTAATGATTTGATCGGGTCTGACTCATAGATTCGTGAACTAGAGAGGAGCGTGTGAAAATCCATAAGCGAACAGAAGCCACTAAAACACATACATGCGATAGGAGGATTTTGATTTTAGAGGATATACCATTTAGAAATCAATTATAAACGTAAGAATACATTATATTCTAGTATAACTGCAATCGGTTAAAATAACGTATAGAAAAGTTAAAATTCAATAATAAATAATAAAAATGCCAAAAGTAACTTTTATTTAAATAGCCTCTCATTTTGCTGATAATTATTTTCAACTGTGAACATAAAAATATTTTTTATTTCAAAATGATATTGAATTTAAACACGCACGAATCGCCTTCGTATCTAAAAAAAAAATATTGAGCAAATAATTTGCATAATGAATTGGGGATATTTTGATTATGCATTTTGCAGCGTAATGCTCCCCTTTCGGTTGCGTCAGTCGATGACTGTACTGGCTATTTATAAACGCTTTCATTGGAAACAATTAGGTTTTCAACTGGGCAGCCAATCAGACGAGAGGCTGGCATTAGGTAAAGTTGTGGCAAAGTTATGGGCAAATTAAAATGGAAATAACTTTGAGTGCAATTACGAGTATCTTAGCTTGTGGGAGTTTTCTTCTGTTGACATAAACCTTTCGCCAAAAATGCCGCCAAAAGACGCTGACAAGTGGCCAAGAGGCAACTGGCAAAAAGGTCACAATTTCGTAATCAGCTTTGGTGGTTGCTTTTTGTGTGTGCACACGACGTAACCATAAGCATGGCTCCATGTCATCCTATATTTCACCAAGACACCAAAAGGCAGTTACAACTGAGACGGAGATGGAGACTTTGAGGCTGGGCCAGGCAGTCGGGCAAGCAGCCAGGCAGCCAGGCAGGCGAATGGCACTGTCAACTCTCGGGCTCAAACGACTGGGGAACAACGGCCAAGAAAAACACATTCGCCAACTGACCAAGTGGCCGATCCAACAACAACTAATAGTAGTTGTAGTAGTAGTAGATATGTGTATGTTCAAACGACTATCACCCGCTAAAATTCAAATTCAAATTTGCTTAAAAACCCAACGCCCCACCAAACACCACCAACCGACCGACCCAACGACCACAAAAATTAGCCATCGTCTTGGGCGCTAATCTGGTTTTAAACTGCGACCAGCGACCAGCGACCGCTGCCACGATGCGGGTGTGTACCACGCAGCCTGGCCAGCCCCAGACCCAACTCTAGGCAGCCAGACTGCACAGCCTGGTCGGACTGACGGACAGACAGACAGACAGAGGGACAGCCGGACCGATCACAACGTTTGGCCATCGCTGACCAACCAGTTTGTGGCACCCGCACCTGGCCAACTGCCCAACTTACGACTTGGCAGCCAGCCAGCTCACAGCTAACTGCCCCTGCCCAGACAGCTGCCTGCCCTGCCCTGCCCTGTATAGACTTAGTACCAGCCGCAGTTCCAGTACTAGATTCGTAGCCGGCGCTGTATTTTGAGTGAAAATGCGTTGCTTCCACAGTTTCTAGTCATTTTTTAAATTTTGTATTTTTTACACGTAATTCTTTTAACACATTTGACTACTTAATTAAGTAATAGAGCATAATAATGCTGAAAAGTATATTATAATAAGTATACAACATTAGATTTTTCACATATCAGCAACTTGATAATGTTATTCAATGCGTCAGTAACTAAATTCCAAATAAAATTGTATAACAAATGTAATCATATTGTGCATTATATCCAGTTGGGCAATTATTTAACAGTCTAGATACTTGCTAATTTTAAAATTAATAAGGTTTATTGTGTACATAAAATGGTTGATGTGTATTTTGTTCGGGCTATTAGCTGATTACTTCAGCCAGTAGAGTTTCATTCGAGTGATTTGAGCGGTTATTAAACAGCGACATGAAGATACGAAAATATGGGTTTATGCGCTTAGTTGGCTTTTGGATGCACAATAAATAAAAGGGGCGCCAAGTGCAACTAAAAGCTTTGGAGGAATGAGGAATTGAGGTTTATTAGCCATATAACTGAATGCAGATGCAGTTGCAATAGTTGCAATTTGATTGTCTACGTATGTATGCCAACCAATTATATTACAAATACAACTTCACAGATTTCTGTTCACTTCTATTCAAGCCACACACACCTATACAGATTCAAACACACACAGCCACATCAAAAAGTGCGCTGTAATTCGTCTACTCAACGCCAGAGTGTGATTTGCTGATTAGCAACACTCTTTCCGTCATATTCTGAAAGCCCAATTACAACGGCCAATAAGACAAACGGCCAAACAGTTGCTGCCGAGACGTTGTCTGACACTTACTTTTGTTTTTTTGGTTTGTGTTTCTATTTGTGTTTTTATTTTTTTTTGCTTTTGGCCACGTGAACACCCTTATGCAAAACAAATCAAAACAGCATTAAGAGTCGTAAATCTGTGCCAAAAAACTTAGCCGGCCAGATACCGAGCCGAACCGAGCAATATTCGACCGGCTCCTTAACAACAAAAGCGGCTGCAGCATGTGCCAAAGACCAGACCCAAACCTCTCGGCTAAAGAGACACTTGGCCACTCGAGACGCCGACGTCGACGTCAGCGACGGCGGCTGCTGTGATAAAATATGAGACACTGGGGCAGACAGTCAAATGGGTACTGCAAACATTGAAGCGGGCGGGGTGGGGGTGGTTAACAGGGGATCATGATTCAGTGGAAAAATGGGCAAAAAAAAGAGAAAAGAATAATATATATGTATGACTGGCCAGACTTAGACGTCCAGGAGGTTGTTGGTTATTACTGCATTACCAATGACAGCCGCCACCGCCGAGACGCCACCTAGCGGTCGAATGAGGCAACTAACCTACCTGTCAGCCCAAGATATGAAAAGCCTTCGATTTTGCCGGCTAGCTCATATGCAGATACACGTATGTGGGTTCCTTATGCGGGGACTGGCAAAATGTCATGCATTCGTTGATGCCGTTTGTTGTGGTTGTTGTTTTTATTGTTGGTGTTGTTGGATTTGTTTTTGTGCTGTTGCCGGTTTCAATATTTATTTATTTGCAAGTGCCTCGCGCAATGCATTAAAGGCAATAAAATAAATAAAAATTGAAATTGACTACGTCAGAAAATTTTGGCATTCATAATGCATGAGTTTTGATTTCTTAGCGACGTCAAAATGCCAGAAAAAAAAAAACGC